GTCAGTTCCCTGCCGCATTAACACAACTTTTGTCAAAGCTGAAACTGTTGAAGAACAGTGTTACGTCGTATGAGTCTAGCGAGCACACGCGTTCAGCTATATCCCAATAAGAATTGAAACCCAAAATGAATCACAATTTGTACTGTAGCGATCGCTAACCGTATTTCTTACCCGGAAGCGCTTCAACAAAAATTATGCTCGTCCGACATTTGTAAACTACGCTAATATAGACCTTCACCCAGGTGAAAGAAATACCAATTTGCATTAAAATAGTTCATAACAAAATCTGCTAAAACAAAACCAAACGAGTGTAGACCCCACCAGACTTATCTCGCTAATTAATAGCTACTATAATGCCAAAACCAACCAAAGGCAGAAATTTTTTTGAAATATGCAAACCCTGGTAAGCTTTGGGCAGCCCTTATTCATCAACAACGAAAAATGAGCCAAAATCCCTTGAACCTGAACTGGACTAATGCCAATCCCATGTCCCAAAAAAATGCGTGGCTCAAAGTACGTCAGACTGCGCTGCTCCAAAATAAGACGTGCAAACCTCTCCCATACAGTAACCCAACTATACCCAATCATCATCTCAAACATGTGGCAAAGTTCCTGAGTACGTTGACAAATCCAAAAGTTCACGAGAAGGACCGACGACGTACTAGACACGACCCATTGCCAATAGCTCATCTTACGATGTCAATCGGCCTAAAAAGTGTACGCGCTAAACGCTGAAAACCACTGGGCTCGAAGGCCGTGTTTCCATTATACCGGCCCTCCAAGATAATTTGCCGCATATGCCGGTGGGCCGGCGCTAATTTCGCACCCTGCGTCTCTTATGCGTGAATCCCATAAGTTATGTCAGACTGGGCACGTGTGGATCGTTAATGTAAAAAAAACAACATCAAAAATCAATTTTCACTTTCTCCGTATATTACAAAAATCAATGAACAACATCGAAGATGCAGTATTTACAAACGTTTCTTGATGATAAGCAAAATAGATATTTAACATTTGACAACAACAACAATAACAACAAGAACATACATTTATAACTGATGGGTCGTTCATTGACGCACCGTTTCTGTCAAACAACAATGCTCATCGGAGCTCCTATGAGCAATCTCATCTACACCCCATGCGTGAAACAGGACACAGCCCCATGAGTCTCTATGAGCGCAACTCATCTACACCCAGCGCAAACAGACAGATGCGGCACAGCTCTATGAGCAAGCTCTATCTACACCCATGGCTGAGAACAGACAATGCGCGATCGAGTCTCTATGAGCAAGCTCTATCTACACCCATGGCTGAGGAAAAAACAAACACTCTGCCTACGACTGACCAGTAGTGACACTAGACAAAACACTGATGACATAAACAATCGTACGTGTATAGAGATATAGATAACAGATATCATATTATATATACACAAGAGCGTATTAAGAAGGCTTCTTAATACGCTCTTGATTATATATATATATATATAATAACAATAACAATCATCATCTGTAACTGTATGTCAATAATGATAGATGAGATATACGACTCGGTAATCGGCAATAGAGATGCCATCGCACTGCCTGCACATTTACCTAGTAGAACTGAGTTTATCAACCGACAATGCTCCCAATGAAGTGCGTACACAACTCTGAACTAGACCTATATACACTTAAATATATGTATATATATATGTACACACGCACGCGCACGCACACGCACACGCACACGCACACGCACACGCACACGCACACGCACACGCACACCCACACCGCACACGCACACCCACACGCCGACACCGCACCAACACACACGCCACACACACACACACACACACACACACACATACACACACACACACACGACACAACACACCACACACACGAATATCAGGGTTCCCCTGCCATTGACACAAAGCGAGCCGGGCCCCTGCTCAAATTCTCAGCCGCCAACACAGGAAATTGGCCAAAACAACCCCCTCGCTGACGAAAACGTTACCAACTTGAAAGCAGATCAAGAGTCTCACACAATGTTTCAGAATCGCTGAAGAATGGCACCAAAGCACCATTGTTTAAAAAAATTCCGGGCGCGCCTGTCCCAGACCCCCCAAGCTTGGCCAGCCCCACCTATGCCTGCCGCACTTTGATTGGACTCGAAATCCCGCACAAACATCACAAAAACCGTTACCAACCTCACAACGCTTTTGGCCAGTGGGAAACACGCGCCCGTCGGCGGGCACAGACGTGCCGGCGGGCTGCAGTGCTGTTTATAGAATATGTGATACTGGCTAGTAGATAACAGTACGTACGTGACGAGTTCAAGGTTATACACCATGATGGAACTTTGCTGAATCTTTACCAAGCCCAATAATGATGACAACGGTGGTATATTTACACGCACGCGCGCACGGACGGATGCACACGCACGCACGCACGCACGCACGCATATACGCAAGCTCGCACGCACGGACGGATGCACGCACGCGCGCATGCACGCACGCACGCATATACGCAAGCTCGCACGCGTGCGCGGACGGATGCATGCACGGACGCACGCATATACGCGAGTACACCCGCGCACACATTGCTTGCTAGTGGCGATGTTTCATAGGATGTGCAGTTCTCGCAGATGGTCTATGATTGCTGAGGTGCTCTGCAGACAGTTGAGTACTCGCACCTGTGGCCGTGGCAACACCTTCTCTAGCATGTAGGAGAGATGATGCTGGAAGCATCCCGAGGGCACTCCCTGAGAGAGCGAAATGTCCACCTGCACGCAGAAACAAACAACGACTCATTTAGACACTTGTGTCGATATACGAACATCCGTCGCTCCACTCTTAAGATTTCTCGTTTGTGTTAACCTGACCGAATTTCGAACTGGTGCCCACTGGGACTTTGATAAAGTGAGGTTATTGAACTGTTGTGTAACTACACTATTTGGGGAGCAATGTAAAGAAATTTTGCCTACATACCAGTATACCTCTTATTGTGCTAGGTTGGATTACTACAAACCAGACATTATTAAAAGGGGCGCTAGGTAAACTAGCAGGAAAATGTAGGTAATTATACATAAGCAAATGGGTAAGTATTAGAAACGTCATATACATATTCACCACCTAGCGAAACACAAATGAAACAATACCGGCCACACATATTCACCAAATTCATGAAAAATGTCTACAGTCATGTTCATGATAATTGTTCATATAATTGTTATATTTTTATTTTCATTAATAATGTATATTCGTATATGATTTATTCATAGGTAATGAGCTATTTGCACAAAAACTACAGCTTTATTGAAAGGTTCAGACATGTTTCGTGACTTACCCAGTCTTTAACACAGCATAATGGAGTTAGACTGTAACCAGCAAACATGGCCGGGTTCTGTAGAAGCCCTCTTGCTGACATCAGTCCTAGAATTAAACAATAAATCTTTTCCTGTAGTCACTTCATTTAAACAAACGAAACAGGGCACAACTATGTAACGCCGTACAGATTTCCATTTTACATAATATACAGTGAAACTTGTGTGTTGGCAAATCACCTCAATAGAATGGGTATCTGTCTAGAAAGCACACTTGTGGCATATCACTTGAGTAACCTTGACTACTTGAGTAACAGGTTTGATTGTAAATACCATGTGGGTTACTTTCATTCAAATACTCACCCCAGGTAGTTAAACATGTTAAATAGACAAGATGTGATGCAATTCAAACAAAGATAATGCGCTGTAACGATTAAACAACAAAATAAGAAAGAAACCTGATGGCGCGGTACATCACTCCCCCGACTTCTGACCCCGACCACATACCGTCTGCGCCGGTCTGCTCTTCCACTGCAGCCGCAGCCTCTAGCGTGTGAACGTCGCCGTTGGCAACCACCGGGATGCGGAGGCTGCTCTTGACGATACGGATGGCTTCAAAGTCAGGAGGTTCCCGTCTCTGTGCCGGCGTCCTGCCATGGATGGTGATGAACGACACGCCCGCGTGCTCTGCCTTCCGACACAGATCGACGGTTTGCCTGGACACCACGCACACGCAGGCAGTAGTTGGCAACATGTACAGTTGTGACAAAATCAACGATGGCAACACGTTTCTCTACTATAATGGGGCTTTGAATTAAACTACAATTTGAAAATAGCTCAACTGAGTTATTTCATCTTTTTAATATCAATTCCATACATTAAAAAACTAAATGTTTTTACTCCTGTCATAAATGAATATCCTGTTAACATGAAAGACATACGATAAAAAGTTATATTACACTGGTATAAGTCTGGTTTTATAGTGCCAATTTGCAAAAAAATCTATCCTAACCGTATGTTCTGGTGCAGTCTTATTTTGATAGAGACCGTAAAGCTTTCGTCTGATATGCGACTTCTAGACTGGACAACCATATCTTTGATTAACTCTGGATCTGATAGAAGATGCGCTCCGTAGCCATCTGCCATTGCCCATCTAAAATGACAGCGTAAAAAACTAAAATACAAGAGATACTTCGTAGTTATAATAATGGCAATACATCATATATAATAATATATATATATATATATATATATATATATAATATAATATATATATATATATATAATATAGTAATACTATATATATATATGTATGTGCACGCACGCACACACGCATATACATATTTAAAACATTACATATCGTAGATATTTATGTATTATTTATTGGTGGTTTATATATTTATGACATTAACATTTTTCACTCTTCTGTGTGAGGTACGCTCGACAATTTATGCTTGAATCACAGTACTGACGCCACTTTTCACATCGCAGGGCATTCCCGATATTTTGTATGAAAAACATTTTACGAACCCTTACTTTATTTATATGAGGGACAATGCAGGGGCATAGCCGCTCAGTTGTCAGCAACTAGAGACTCATTAGTACAAAATGGACATATATAGCCGAATTGTGCATCTGGAGTAGGATGTATGGGCGAACAAATACTATTTAACGACAATACGTTAGGGGAACCAGGTACAATTACTCACGTCAAGACACCACTCGAAGTGGATTAGATCGCCGCTAGAAGTCGCAACATAACTTCTTGGTTCCGGTCCGGATTCGGTTTCTCTTTTCATAATATGATAATTGCACGAACTCACGGATGAATCATTGCCAATACATACTCTCGGTAGGCCACGCCAGATCCTTGGATTATGGCCAAGCAAACTGGACGATTTAGTGGGCGCTGGTCCTGATCATATAGAACAAAGACAATTTATT